GGACATCAGCTGGTTTCATTTGTAAATCCAATGTGGCATCTTTTTCCATATCACTCTTGTAGTCTGGCATTTTTAAATCCATTTTCAGATCCACATTCAGATCAGCCTTAGTCTCAGTAAAATCTGTTCCTCTTCTGTAGCATCTGTTAAATCCATTTTTATAGTGGCAGACAATCTTAAGAGCAATTTCTGGGTACGCTGTTCCCAAATATCCTTGATTTCTTCTATAGTCAAATAGTATTGCTCCATTGTATTAATGGCCCTCTTGTCCTTTAACTGTAATCTCCCTAGTTAGCCTTCAAACTCCCCTCTTATTATATGTTTATTTTCCAACCAACAAAATGTTCCCACAGGAGGATTTCTTACAGTTAATTTCAAAATCTTCATATATATTTTTATAAAATTTTAAACAACTCACAATAAACCTTCTTTCAGGTCCATCTGGCCCCTTAGAAGATATCTTCACAGGAGGATTTCTTACAGTTAATTTCAAAATCTTCATATATATTTTTATAAAATTTTAAACAACTCACAATAAACCTTCTTTCAGGTCCATCTGGCCCCTTTACTTTCCACAATCAACATTCTTTTTTGCTGTTTTTGCAAACACAAATTTTTCTTTTTAATTTTTAAACTTACACGAAACTTCTTTCATCAAGGATAGAAGGAGACTCTCCTGGCGTAATTAAACTTGCCCTTCTGAAGGTTCTTAATATTCAAAAAAATCAATAAAAAGCAATTTCCTAAGGTGATTAAGAGAGGAAGTGGGCAAACTCAGTGTCCTTCTGAAGGTGCCAAACCATGGCTTAGGCAAGATGATTCCCCCCCCCGGCTTTTTATTAAGAATTATAAATGAAAATAATAATAGTCAATACAAACTACAAAAAAATACAAACAGAAAAGCACACAGAAAAGTGGGGGGATATTGTAGAAAAGAAAAAAAGGGGGGGAGAAAAAGAAAAAAAGTAACTTTCCTCTTCATCCCACTAGGTAAAAATAGTTTTAACAGTTTATCACCATCTCTAAATAAAACATAATCTCTCTTCTCCCCACAACTCATCTCTTAAGTAACAAAAAAACAAAAAACAAATGCTTCGTTGATCTTTTTTTGTCAGCAAAAGTCCAGTGAAGGCAGCCAGATATGTTTTCCTTTTTTAGCCAATCAAACAAGCCAATCTTATAAACCTTCCCTGAATTTTTAAAATTATTCTTTAACCCCTTAAAAAAAAGTCCCAGAGGTAATGTGCTGATCATCTGGGTATCCAAACAAGAATCCTTCAGAACTTAACAGACTTCTTTCGCATGCCCATTAGATAAACTTTATCCTTTTGCTTGTCACTTCTAAAAGTCTTTCCAAACCTTAGCAGAGCTCTTTTGTATATCTAGCAGAAAAAAATTATCCAAATCAGTTTCCTAGTTTGATATCTGTTCATCTCCTTTAGGGGATAAATCACCCATTGGACCCATTTGTATTACATTTAAGTCCTCCTTCCAATTAATTTCATAAACATCCATTACAACTTGTTCTTGTTTTACAACTTCATTAAAGCATGTTCTGTCCAGTTCCTCAAGCAGTTGATCCATTCTATCCAATGAGTTGGCTGAAAGGTATTTAAAAGTTTGCACTAAGAATTTCTGCTCTATTTTCTTTGTCCTCTGGCTCCCTGTAATGTCCAAACTTCAAGGTCTCCTTATCATAAAGAAACAAAAGCAATCACCATTTTCCCATGAGAAGATATCTTCTAATAAATTCAAAACTATAATTCCAAATTTCTCTGGCCCCTTAATCTATTATTAATTTTTAAAAATCCATATACAGTGGAACCTCGGGTTACGAATGCTTCCGAACGAGCTTTTCGGGTTACGACCAGCTCCAGCCGCAAAAATTTTCTTCTAATAAATTCAAAACTATAATTCCAAATTTCTCTGGCCCCTTAATCTATTATTAATTTTTAAAAATCCATATACAGTGGAACCTCGGGTTACGAATGCTTCTGAACGAGCTTTTCGGGTTACGACCAGCTCCAGCCGCAAAAATTTGCTTCGGTTTGCGAACTCCGCCTCGGGGTATGAACAGGATATGCGGCCATTTTCCCTCCCCTGACACGTGGTCCGCGGCCATTTTCCGCCTATGACACGTGGTCCGCGGCCATTTTTCCGCCCCTGACACGTGGTCCGCGACCATTTTTTTGCCCCTGACACGTGGTCCGTGGCCATTTTCCACCCCTGACACGTGGTTGTAGGGAGGGGGA